GCCCTCCAGGACCAGGGTTATCTACCCCTGATGTAGACAGTACCTGTTGTCCTCCAGGACCAGGGTTATCTACCCCTGATGATGTAGACAGTACCTGTTGTCCTCCAGGACCAGGGTTATCTACCCCTGATGATGTAGACAGTACCTGTTGTCCTCCAGGACCAGGGTTATCTACCCCTGATGTAGACAGTACCTGTTGTCCTCCAGGACCAGGGTTATCTACCCCTGATGTAGACAGTACCTGTTGCCCTCCAGGACCAGGGTTATCTACCCCTGATGTAGACAGTACCTGTTGTCCTCCAGGACCAGGGTTATCTACCCCTGATGTAGACAGTACCTGTTGCCCTCCAGGACCAGGGTTATCTACCCCTGATGATGTAGACAGTGCCTGTTGTCCTCCAGGACCAGGGTTATCTACCCCTGATGTAGACAGTACCTGTTGTCCTCCAGGACCAGGGTTATCTACCCCTGATGTAGACAGTACCTGTTGTCCTCCAGGACCAGGGTTATCTACCCCTGATGATGTAGACAGTACCTGTTGTCCTCCAGGACCAGGGTTATCTACCCCTGATGATGTAGACAGTACCTGTTGTCCTCCAGGACCAGGGTTATCTACCCCTGATGTAGACAGTACCTGTTGCCCTCCAGGACCAGGGTTATCTACCCCTGATGTAGACAGTACCTGTTGCCCTCCAGGACCAGGGTTATCTACCCCTGATGTAGACAGTACCTGTTGCCCTCCAGGACCAGGGTTATCTACCCCTGATGATGTAGACAGTACCTGTTGTCCTCCAGGACCAGGGTTATCTACCCCTGATGATGTAGACAGTACCTGTTGTCCTCCAGGACCAGGGTTATCTACCCCTGATGATGTAGACAGTACCTGTTGCCCTCCAGGACCAGGGTTATCTACCCCCAATGATGTAGACAGTACCTGTTGCCCTCCAGGACCAGGGTTATCTACCCCTGATGTAGACAGTACCTGTTGCCCTCCAGGACCAGGGTTATCTACCCCTGATGTAGACAGTACCTGTTGTCCTCCAGGACCAGGGTTATCTACCCCTGATGATGTAGACAGTACCTGTTGTCCTCCAGGACCAGGGTTATCTACCCCTGATGATGTAGACAGTACCTGTTGTCCTCCAGGACCAGGGTTATCTACCCCTGATGTAGACAGTACCTGTTGTCCTCCAGGACCAGGGTTATCTACCCCTGATGATGTAG